TCCGTAAACGATGACAGAATTTTCAGTTTAGCTTGAACCATTCCTTTATTTTTCTGTGTACTGTAAATAAAATCACATTACAAATTAAATAGAAAATCTGCCGAAAATCTGTGACCAATACTGTATGGAATTTAATTGTGACTAGTGTTTTTATGTTCTATATTTTTATACCTCAGCCCACCACTACTTGCAGATGCTGAAAACTTCACTGTGCTCATAAAGAATAATATTCGATATCCCAAATTTAACTTCAACAAGTAAGCTTTTCAAATGCTTTTCTTATTTATTAATGAATTATCTGCCAGTATATTACCTGAATGCAATATTCTCTTTGCATCCTTACAGAAGGAACATCTTACCGAATATAAACAGCTCCTACTTGACACATTGTGTGTTTAGCCGTAAAACGGATCCTGACTGTCCAATCTTCAGACTTGGAGACATTGTTGGAGAAGCTGAAGAGGATTTTCAGATCATGGCTGTCCATGTAAGAGCGTATTTGATATTTAAGAGCAAAAGAGACCTAGTACTGTTATTATAAAAGGCTTTTGAGGGGTTAGTTCACTCAAAAATTAAAGTTTTGCTGTTAATTATTCACCCTCTTGTTGTTCCAATTCCCAGAGACCCAGCAAATTAAGATATTTTACAATTGAGAGCTCTCTGACCATTCATAGACAGCAATAATTTTGAGATGTTCAAAGTTTGATGACAAAATTTGTCATTTTTGCTGATTTTTTGGTGCACAAGGGTGTTCTTGGAGCTTCATATGATTACATCTAATCCACTGTAGTCACATTGAATGTTTCGACAACGTTTGACTTTATGGATTATCCCGGGACCCTTGCTGTCTATGGAGGACAAGAGAGCTCTAGGATTTCATTTAAAATATCCTAATTTGTATACACAAGATAAACGATGGTCTCAGGGAATAGGAACAGGGAATTAATTTATAACACAGTTTTGCATGGTGAACAAATCCTTTAATGGCATCTCCAGGTTTTCATTTATGCACAATTTCTCTTCTGTTTAGGGCGGAGTGATGGGAGTTCAGATCCGGTGGGATTGTGATCTTGATATGCCACAGAGCTGGTGTGTACCTCGCTACACTTTCCGCAGGCTAGACAACAAAGACCCAGATAATAATGTTGCTCCAGGGTACAACTTTAGGTAAGATGTGATTGGATTTAGTAAAAGTAGATCCTCAGAGAAAACGAGGTTGCATTAAATGAGGCATGGTTTGCTGAAATCTCTACAGATTTGCTAAATATTACAAGAACAGTGATGGCACTGAGACCAGGACACTTATCAAGGGTTATGGCATTCGCTTTGATGTCATGGTATTTGGCCAGGTGAGACACCTTTGATATTTCTAAAGCGCCAGATATACTCCCAGTGAAATTCTTTTTGGTTTTTTAATAAGAAGCACAGAGAATCTGGCTTTCCACCAAGCAAATTTGGGATTTAAAGACATCTATTAGACATTTAAATATAGACATGTGGCTAAAACAAAGGAGTGAAAATCAAATAGATGTCTAATAATAGAACATAAGAATACTAGTCATCGTTTACATACTTTACATATTTAGTCATTCATTCCTGTGCATTTGGACTACTGCCAGACGTCTATTGGATTTTCACTGAAAACCCAAATTTAACCTATTTTAAAAAAAAAAAAAACTTTTTTACTGCCTTACCTGCAGTGGTTTGCCTTAATGTATAATATTCAATTTGCTTCTATGCTAAACTCTCTCTCTCACACACACATACACACCAACACACACACAAACACACTGCTTACGAACCCAGATTCAGAATCTTTTATGTTTAAGTTTGGACGTCTATTAGACATCATTTAAACAAAGTCTGGGGCGGCAGCAAGAAGGCTCGCCTCACAGCAAGAAGGTCACATGGGTCCTGGCTGTGCATTTCTGTGTGCATTGCTTGTTCTCCCCATGTTTGCGTGGGTTTCCTCCGGATGCTCCAGTTTCATCCACAGTCCAAAGTCATGTGCTATAGGTGAATTGAATAAAGAAAATTGGCCATTGTGTATTAGTGTGAATGTGAGAGTGTATGTGTGTTTCCCAGTACTGGGTTGCAGCAGGAAGGGCATCCGCTGTGTAAAACATATGCTGGATAAGTTGGTGGTTCATTCTGCTGCGTCGACCCCTGATGAATAAAGGGATGAACAAAGAATATGTTTGTTGGGATAGGACTCTAGAAACAAACTTTGTTTTGATTATTTTAATTCTGAATGTTATTACATTAATTTGTTCTTCGACTTTACTCTTAGTATATCAGGGCCTTAAAGGGATAGTTCACCCAAATAGGAACGTTTACTCACAATTTACTCACTCACAAGTGGTTACAATTGCTTTGAGTTTATTTTTCTGTTAAACTAAAAAAAAGAAGATATTTTGAAGAATGTTGGTAAGTGGTAGCCATTGATTGCCTTCTTCAGAATATCTCATTTTGAGTTCAACAGAAGAAATCTCAAACAGGATTGGAGGGTGCGTAAACTGACAGAATGTTCAGTGTTTGTTCAGTGTTCTAACGGCTGTTTACACATTAATTAAAACACTTATTTGCAACACAGGCTGGGAAATTCAACATCATCCCAACACTTCTGAATATCGGTGCAGGCTTGGCACTTCTAGGCCTGGTAAGCATGTCTGAACAAATTTGATCAAATATGAGAAACTTTTGAAAACACAATTAAGACTTACTGAATTAATATTTCAATTTTGCATTTCTAATGATTACAATTGATACTTTTTATGGTCTGTTTAAGGTGAACGTCATCTGTGACTGGATTGTGTTGACATTTATGAAAAGGAAGCAACATTACAAGGAGCAAAAGTATACATATGTTGATGACTTCGGACTTGTGAGTATTTCTGGCCTTACTGAACATCCAAACGCTTAATTGCTGTTAAAATCATCTTAGTTAAAGGGATAGTTCAGCCAACAATAAAAATTCTCTCATCATTTACTCACACTCCACTCATTTCTAACCTGTTTGAGTTGCTTCTGTTGAACATCGAGGAACATATTTTGTAGAATGCTAAAAAACAGCCATTGATTTCCATAGTATTTTTGTTCCAACTATGGATGTTAATGGCTCACCATTTTTCAGAATAGCTTGTTTTGAGTTCAGCAGATGAAGGAAATTCAGAAATGTTTACAACCACTTTAGTGTAATGATATGATGAGGAGATTTTCATTTTATGAAGGGTGAACTATCATTTTAACCTTTTATATTTGCTTATTGAAATGAGCTTTTGTGTCTCAAAGGTTTTTGGTGCAAAAAACTAACAAGAGATATTTCTTTCAACTAGTTACACAACGAAGACAAATAGAAGATCTTCAGGCTACAGATTTATCCCGTATTCAATGCCAATTTCATCATAAATTGTATGTAATTGTCAGGATTTAAAAATCCAGTTACAAATGAGGGACTGGTTAAATGAATTAAAATGCATTTTGATGAAATTGTCAGTGTGATTTACTTCAATTAGATTTCATTTCAGTACTCGTTTGTCTCCAGAATGTGGAAAAACTATATTTTTAAAAGGAAACGTAAATGTCTCTTAAGACAAAAACATAAATCTAAATGTTGACAAGTTTGTGTTTTTGTAGTTTTCTCATTAAATCTAGTGGAACATTGAATAGCCTTAGTCTAAATCAGGTGTGGGCAAACTTGATACTGGAGGGCCAGTGTCCTGCATAGTTTAGCTCCAACCCTATTCAAACGGACCTCATTAAAGAGTTCAGGTGATTTTGAAGACACTGATTAGTTTGTTCAGGTGTGTTTGCCTAGTGTTTGAACAAAACTCTGAAGAGACACTGGCCCTCGAGGATCAAGTTCGCCCATCCCTGGTCTAAATGTTTAAACCGATTGAACTCAGTAGCAATTAAATAAGTATATCTAATATATATTCTAATATATATTTTATTCACTATATTAAAAAAAAAACAATTAACTGAGGCCCCCTAGGCAAAAGCAAGAAGGTTGCTGGTTCGAGTTGGCATTTCTGTGTGGAGTTTGCATGTTCTCCCCGTGTTTGTGGGTTTGCATGTTCTCCTTATGGTTTCCTCCGAGTGCTCTGGTTTGCCCCACAGTACATAGACATGCGCTATAGGTGAATTGCTAAATTGGCTTTAGTGTATGTATGTGAAGAAGTGTGTATGGATGTTTCCCAGTACTGGATTGCAGCTGGAATGGCATCCGCTGCATTAAACATATGCTGGATAAGTTGGTATTTCATTCTGCTGTGGCAAACACTAATGAACAAAAGGAATAAGACTATATATATATATATATATATATATTTTTTTATTTATTTATTTATTTTTTTTTCAGGGTTTTACTTTTAATAGATAGGACAGTAGTAAGACAGGAAAGCATGGGGAGCAGAGAGAGGGCAAGGATCAGTAGGACCTCAAGATAGAAATTGAACGCGGGTCACCATGAGGTCCGGTGCACTGCAGGGTTTAGCTCCAACTTGCCTCAACACACCTGCCTGGGTGTTTCAAGTATACCTAGTAAGACCTTGATCAGCTTGTTCAGGTGTGTGTTCAGGTGTGTTTGACTAGAGTTGGAGCTAAAATCTGCAGGACATCAGCCCTCCAGGAACAAGTTTGGTTATGGGTGATTCAAAAAGAATACCACAACTCTGAAAATCTGTATTTAATCAAAGAAACATGATGACAACAGCGCTCCTAGCGACTAAATAAGCAACCAAATGAAACTTCAGAGCTTTCTTAAATCGACGGCAGAAAGAACTTAGCTCTCCTTTTCTTCTTCGCAGAGTTCTTGATTGTCAAAGTTGTGGTATTATTTTTGAATCACCCTGTATATTACAAAAAACAGTGAACCGAGGGCCTCTAGTGGCGGTGAAATAAGTGTGCATTACGCGTGGCCCCAGCAGGGGTCAGTAGAGAAGCGCGCAGCTCACGGTTCCTCGTGCAGGAGGAAGATCACGGCGACCTTCTTCTTCCTCGCGTTAACACATGATGGCGGCCGCGCTGAGAGGGAGCGTCCTATCTCTCGCCAAGGTGAGTCTTAAAAATGATGTTCCCATTTGCTTATATTTTAAGTGACATACTTGTATTGTTGCTTGAGGCACACCTCTAAACGTTAACTAGGAAACAAACAGTTTTGTGTTGCGATGTAAGGCAGGTTGAGATTTTGTTGCATCAAAATAAACTGAAATATAAATGTCAGCCCTCAGGGTAAGGTGTAACATTATGAGAAAGTATGGAGTATGCAGATTTCTAGAATATTCCTGAAAAGCTCCTTACACGGAGGTGGCATCTTGTTGGTAATTGTCCTAATACCTTTTAAATTAAAAGATTAATGTTAAGGAACATTCATATTTTAATGTCACTAATTTGCGGTCAAAACAACTATACTTACGTGACAAGCCTGTTGATCACACCGCGCCCAAAAACACTTCCAGATCGTTATTTTTATTTTGAATAAGTTTCTATTATAAAGAAAAGCTTTTTTTTTTGTTTATTAGCGTTGGAACGCTTGTTTGTTTGTGTGTGTGTGTGTGTGTGTGTGTGTGTGTGTGTGTGTAGTGTGTATATATACACACACACAATAATATAACGTTAATAGAATAGACTAACGTTAGGTAAGATTTCTGATATCATGGATTTATGTTTTTGATTTATAGTGAAACTGGTGGACAAAAAGGTTTATGTTCTATAATTATTATTTATTTTCATGTGTTATATCTTCTCAAATTATCAAGCTATTTAATCATAAATCATTTATTGAAAGCTTTAATTAATACATAACTTAAGTAACACAAATATTCATGTATCATCTCTTTTTCTGTTTTTGTCTTTAAATTGTGCAAGTGCAGTAGTATATTTTCTGCAGCCTGACATTTAGAGTGCCTGCCAGTTATTCTTAGATAATAGTACAAAATGTTGTTTCCAAGGGTTGATATTTGCACGACAAGGTGCTTTTCAGCTTTTTCAGTTAGAAATTTGTGAAAAGCACAACTCTTTCTTGCCTAGTTTATCTGATAGCATCTAGGTTATCTGAAGGGTCACTGTGACTACATGACCTCACCTTGATCTTACTCCACTTAGATAGAGGCAACATTCTGTGCGATGTAGTTTAGTGATATTATGAATAGATCTGTTTGTCCTTAACCTACCAGACATAACATCTGGTCCTGACACTAAGATGTAAGAGCTTCAGTCTATGTAAACTTTGGAGGATTTTCTAAAGCAACTCTTGCTTCTTGACTCCTGTCTCTTTTCTAGAAGAGCCTTTTACTTTAAGATATTGGATCTTAAATCTAAGGTTTCACATTTTTATGCTTTTATTTTGGCTCAAACATTTCTGTTCGTTTATTTCTTTTAAATATTATTGTTATTTTTTTATTTAAAGTTTTTATTGTTCATATTTGTGTCAATAAAATTATACTAGAAATCTCAAAGGCTGTCAGCATCAGAAACTTATTTTGCTTAATACTAATAAACATATATTTTGCAGTGCGCTATTTTGAGACAACTCTATGTCTAGAGAGATTTTAAAATGTGAATCCTTCAACAGTATTAGAAAAATCTTTTAGATTTTACATTATTTTGTGTTATTTATTGATGTATTTTTTTTTGTTATAAGCCTATTTATTATAAACATATCTCTCTACATAATACTGATAAAATAGGCAGCATTTTTTGTTTAATTAAAACACTTTTGTACAAGTATTGAATGATTAACTGACCAGGTTTGCATATATATATAAAATGTGTTTTTATATATGCACATATTGCTGTCTTTAATGCCCTTTTTGCATTTGATAACTCTTCAGGACTGCAGACATCCACACACGCCCTTATCCCATGATGCATTTTTTATTGTAGAAATAACAGTTTTGATCTGTTCAATGTTTACCTGTGACATTTGTGAACCACAGGGTCTGACGGGGGTCCGGTTGCAGCCTTTGTGTGCCCGTTCTCTGAGTTTGACCTCCAGTCAGAATGTTCCAGAGAGTCCACCGGCCCGTGCCGACAGCACTTTTAAGGTCACCATGGTCCCAGGAGATGGAGTTGGACCGGAGCTGATGACTGCAGTCAAAGAGGTTTTCAAGGTACTGATTATTAGACATGAAGAAATCCTAAAATGTCTCTAGGACTTTGTGATATTAGAAAAAAACTGACATTGCGATATTTATGTTTTCTGCGATGTGACGATAGTAGTCAACCTTTGAAGTGGAATCTTTCAAAATCTTTATTCAAAGCTGTCCTGAAACTATTCAACAGCACCAATTCTTGACTATAGTTGTCACTTTTTTGCTTGTTTTAATCCACTTTAAATGTTTACTACTGCACAATTTCACCAGATGGCTTAAATAGACATGTTTGGAATGAATTCATTAATTTAGATTGGTTGGGATGATTCTGCAGAAGAGTAAATAAAACATAACAAACAAAATTCAAGCATTGATAAATACAACAGAACTATACAAATTAAATAAACGGTGTATTATGTTTTTTTGGGATTCTTTAGATATTCAGGTACATGGAGTAAATTGGATGTTAAAACACTGTATAGTTTTCAAAATGTGAATAAATCAATACAATAAATACTTAATTGTCGCATCTACCCCAGTTTCTAAGGCAAATCTTTCACCTCACCCTTTAGGCTGCTGATGTCCCTGTGGAGTTTGAGGAGTTTCATCTGAGCGAGGTGCAGAACATGGCTAGTGAGGAGAAACTGAACGAGGTGCTTTCCTCAATGAAGAACAACAGAGTGGCCATCAAGGGTAATGTTTAATGTTGTTACTTGTGTCCTAAGATGTTAAATAGTGCAAGCTGATGTGCACTTGCTGGCTGCTTTATTAGATGCATCACACTAGTACCGTGTTTAATTCTCTCTTCAAACTACATTAATTATGTTTTGACATTGATTTAACAAGATGCTGCAAACATTCTTCAGCTTTTTGGTTCATATTGGCATCCATGATTTGAATCTCCCATTCTGACACATTCAAACGTGCTCAATTGGATTGAGATCTGCTGACTGTTTAGGCCATTTAAGTTTTTTTACTCATTTTTATGAAGATGATTTGAGACATAATGTGTTATCCTGTTGTTGCTCATGGTCTGCAACAATGCTTGGTAGGACTAATAAGTGTATATGTGTATGATAAGTATTGAAGTTTGTTTCACAGTTACTATCATAAGATGTTATTAAGATGGATTGCCTGAGTGACGAAACTGTTTCTGTGTCTGGCTGTTCTGCTGCACAGTGCTCTGTAGTGTCTACGAGAAGGTAAAGGTTCATAGAGCCTAAATGTGAGGGGTCCAGAGTGATTTTGGCAGCCCTTCTGCTCGCTCTTGATAAGTACAGTTCTTGGAGAGTAGGGAATGTTGTACCAGTGATTCACTCAGCAGTCTGAACTATTCTATGTAGTCTTCGGAGTTCGGATTTGGTAGCTGAGCTAAACCAGACAGTTATTGACGTGCAGTGGACTGATTCAAAAATGGAAGTGTAGAACTGTTTTAGTAGCTCCTTTGGAAGGTTGCTTCCTCAGCTGATGAAGGAAGTACAGCCTCTGTTGATCTTAAACTTGATTTGTGCTTAAACTTGAATTTTGAAAGGGTTTAAGAACCATGTAATGGCTGAATCAGTCTGGTCAATATTTTAGATTTGGTATCTTCTCCTCTTTTCCCCATTGTCTGTAGATCCTAGAGGTGATTATGCTTGAAAATCACTTTATATCATCACTTTATTGAAAAAGTCGGACCGGCCAGTCTGACACCAGTAATCATGCCATGTTCAAACGTCTTGAACTCACTGACATGTGATTGGCTGATTAGATATTTGCATTAATGAGCAGATAAACGTATGCATCTATAAAAATGCTCAGCAAGTAGCATTGATCATCACCATTTAATAAACTCATTTTAATTCTCTCTATGGTTAGGGAAGATTCACACTCCTATGGAATATAAGGGAGAACTGGCATCTTATGAGATGAGACTAAGGTACTTTTTAAATATTTTATCATAGATGCTTTGTGCTAGTAATCGGTCTCCTGCTAGATTTTGTTGGATTAAATGGTAATTTCTTGTTGCAGGAGAAAGCTGGATCTGTTTGCCAATGTGGTTCATGTGAAGAGCCTTCCTGGATACAGCACCCGCCACAATAACCTGGATCTGGTGATCATACGGGAGCAGACTGAGGGAGAATACAGCTCTCTGGAGCATGAGGTACTTGTTGTGTTCATGATCAGTTTCTGTATGAGGAACAAACTTTTTAAGACTGTTGTTTAAGATGTGCTGTGAGATCCAGAAATTTAAGTCAGGAACCAGAAAAGAGAACAAGATTGTTAATGAGCTGGTTCAGTGGTTTTAAAACTGTGGGCTGTGGCCTCCCAGTGGGTTATGGCAGTATTGCAAGGTGGCCACAAGCTGTTATTAATTGAAATAGCATTCATATATGTCAAATTTATGTGTAATAGGTAATAAATGGTCACTGCTTAGTTTAATAACAGCCTACGAATTTAAAACATGCTGCAAAGCTGGCTGTCAATAGGTTATTTCTCTTGTTTTCTGCTGGTTTTGACTGCTTGAGATCTGCACTCTGAGATCTAAGGGCTGTTTTATAAAACTGGTTAAGAAAAGCAGAGATTAAAGTCAAAAACCCAACTTCAATGAGCCGAACTAAACGTCCACGCTTGAATTGGTTCCATAACAGCAAGTTGAAGATTATTTGATCTAACTAATCTGAGTTAATTCTAAATAATCTAGATAACTGCTCGTGCACATTACTGTTGTGAAACCTTAGAGGTCGAGCATAGATGCATTGATTATGTTGTTTGCTATCATGGCAACTATGATAATCGAAAGAGCTCTGAAATGAGACACAGCTGTTCACAGCCAGTGAGCCACGATTGTTTTAAACATACATAATATTTTAAACATAATAATCAAAAATTACAGCTTGCAACAAAGCAATATAAAAGCTGACATGAGATTTGCAGATTGTCTTAATTAAAAATAGACCATTATCTAGGCCTATTAATGCTAAATTAAATATGTGTCACAATACATTGAAATTGTGCTTGACTGCACGCGTGCGAGAGAGAGAAAATATCTTTATATTAAAGTGAAGCTACTGCTCGGCCTGGATTATCTCCCAGTTATTCCACCTTACAGCTTTAAAGTCATTCTTTAAGAAATGTAGCCTACTTTATATCAGTCAGTGCTTTCCTAATATATTTTCTTCTCTAAATTTTGTAATTCATATACTACATATATAGCTAAGTACACCCCTCTCACAGATAAATGTTTTTAAATTGATATTTTCTACAGAATGCTTTATAATAATGTTTATGCATATACATTAGATTATTCAGTACCAAAGCAAAATTTGGAGCGAATCTAACAAAACAAACTAAAGATCAGTCCAAAAATCAGTACATCCAAATTAATAGGTTGAGGAAAAATATTAAGTAAAATTTTTATAAACAGGAAAACAAATCAACATAAACATAAAAAAAAATGTTGAAATGTTGTAGTTTATATTTTTGTTTGCAAATTATTTTAATTTAAAAGTAAATATTGTTCTATTATTAAAGATGTTTGGTGTGTATATATTTACACACCAAATAGTATAAACTTTTAATCATTATTAAGAGGTAAAGTGAAATAAAATGGCATCAAATGGCAGGCGAATGTTGACATTATTTTGTTTAAGCATGAACTTGACTCAGCCTAACAGTTAACCTGTCCCGGACGAGGCTTGTTTTCCAGCATAAGTTGCCAGAGTAACTGTGTTTGAACTATCACAAATTTCATTTATGAAACGGAATCCGCTATTAATAAACCTGACTTAACAAAATAAACCTGGCTTTTTCTCTAAGCTTAGTTTATGGAACAGCCCCCTGGACAAGATTTTATATGTGAATTATGGTCTGGCCATCATTACATTGTGTGGGATGTGGCCATTTTGCACAGAGCGTGCCCTCAAAAATAGATCCAGGAAGAAAATGGTTTGAAGTTGTCGCACATTGCATCATCAGAGTTGGGGCTCTTATTGGTTCTTGCATTGAAGCTCGCTCCAGCTGTTGTCTCATTGCAGTCTGAAATCTTCTGACACTGCCAGAACTTTAAACCAGCTTTAGCTTTAGCAACTTTAAATAATATTTAGCCTAGGTTTTCAGGAATCTTATAGATTTCCCTAATTTGTCCCAGATTTCCAAATCGTGGTTGAAGTCCCACAGTGTGAGCAGGGTTTTTCTCACAGACTCAAAAAGGCATTATTTAGCCCCTTTCACTTGGGAAGGGATAAACTGCCACTGTTGTTTCTCCGTTGAGCATCTTCAATTCTTAAGTGCAGGTCACATTTGTATCTTCTTGGATCTAACGCAGAAGGGGGGCAAAACTTCATTATTGCTGAAAAATCTGTCCCGCACAAGTCTTGTCTGAACCTGTTCCCTGATTAAGGTCCACCCACTTATGGCATCTGCCTGGATTTTGGTTTTTCGGTTTACTTTGTGTCAACCTGAGTCTCTTTAGGGTGTTGTTGTCTTATGTAAATTTTGTTTATTCAAATCATTGATAGTTTAAGTTCGATACAGTTAACAGTCTTTGCATCTGAGTAAGTTACCAACCCTCCACAAATAATGGGTTCACTTATTGCTGTGGGACGCCAAAACATGCATTTCTTAGTGTAGTGGGCCACGAGTTAAAAAGGTTGGAACCACTGAGCTAGTTAATTAATTTTAATTAATGGACTGAATGTTAAATAAATGTTTTACTTTCTGCCTCAGAGCGTTGCAGGAGTGGTGGAGTGCCTGAAGATCATCACTAGGGAGAAATCCCGCCGCATTGCTAAATTTGCATTCGACTACGCCACCAAGAAAGGCCGCAGTAAAGTGACCGCCGTCCACAAAGCAAACATTATGTAAGCCTAGTGGGATTATTGCACCCGTACTGTTTTAGACGCTCCACGCGCAGACTCACTCTCTAGGATTTATTTCTCACAGGAAACTCGGGGATGGTCTCTTCCTGCAGAGCTGTGCGGAGGTGGCTGAACTCTACCCCAAAATTAAATACGAGAATGTCATCATTGATAACTGCTGCATGCAGGTAATGTTTTCTGGCTTTCATAGTTAATAGCCTGTTATAAGAGTGACCTGTAGATACAATTGGGATATTTTTCTGTGGCCCACAGCTGGTGCAGAATCCATATCAGTTCGATGTGCTGGTGATGCCCAATCTTTACGGCAACATCATTGATAACCTGGCAGCGGGGCTGGTTGGCGGAGCAGGTGTAGTTCCAGGCGAGAGTTACAGCGCGGAATATGCAGTGTTTGAAACGGTTCGAGACTAAATCTTGTTTTTCGTTCTTTCATTGGTAATAAGTGAATAGAGACTCTAATTATTGCTACATGTTTATGATGACTTATTGAATCATACGAATAGCAGAATCCATTTTGAAATAGTCAATGTATTTCTTTATTTGAATTAGTATTTTCCAAGACACGTCCAAAGTTGGGTGTGAAATGAAAACAAAAATGTAATTGCATCATTTACATTTGCCATTTCCAACCAAAGTTTTCAAAAGGACATTACATGCTACATTTAATGCTTAAGTTGCTAAATAAAACTTCAAATGTATGCTTCTATAGACTTTATTGTGGTTTCTGTTTCTTGCATTTAATATCAGGGTGCCAGACATCCTTTTGCTCAGGCTGTCGGCAGGAACATCGCAAACCCCACCGCTATGCTCCTCAGTGCATCAAACATGCTGAAACACCTCAAGTGAGTTCCCTATTGTTAAATTTTATAAATTCCTTTAGGAATCCCAAAAGGGATTTATTTAAATTTTCAGGGACCTCGATCCAGTCCAGATTTCCTTCAATCAATGTTGCATTTGGTAATCAGATGTATTTATCTATTCTAGCTAGCCGAATGATGATCATTGTGCTGAATCATGCAATTAATATGGTAGCCATGCTAAAATATCTGTGTTATAAACACTGTCAGCAAGCTACAACATGAGCAAAATACTATCAAACATATCAAAGATTAGCAAACGTTATAAAAATGTTAGCAACATGCTAATGCACACTGTATACTTCTTAACAAAAATATTATAGCATACAATTTTGTTAAATCTAGCAGCATATTTGTAGCTTTTTATTAGCCTTGTGGGTCTGGTGACCTGTGATGCCATTATGTTTTGAATCTCGAGCTTCAGTCCCAACTCGTGGAACTTTTCTTGTCCTAGTCCTCTTTCCCTTCATCTTTTCCTTACGCTCAACGGTCTTATCACATTAAAAGCAAAAAATACCAAAACACAATCTTTACAAATATATAAACAATGTTTTAAAATATACAGTATTCACAGTAGTGAAATATGTTTTAAACTTATGGAAAACCTGTTTTAAGCATATTAGCAACTTCTAACTAATTCTCATTATCTATCTGTAAACATTTCAGCATTTCTGGTAACTGGGCTTTATCTGGACTGTGAATTTAAAAACATTTAAATTTCTTTAAAACTATTTAGGATTTATTGGCCAGGCTTTCTCAAATCTGTCTCAATTTTGTATGTGGTCTTAATTGGATTGACGTGAGTGGGTTCTTTTATTATTATTTATTTTCAGCCTCGAGTATCATTCAAACATGGTGTCTGAGGCAGTCAAGAAAGTCATCAAACAGGGCAAGGTAAGAGTTAATTGTATTTGTTTGGTTTTATGTGTGAATGAGAGAGAGAGATGTGTTTGTGTGGGTTACAGAATTATATCTATTATACAAGCCATCACAGGTTTTCATCCTAAATGGTGGGTTTCCCTTTGTAAGGGATTGATGCATAAATAAATAAAATACTGTTTTAAAATTGGTTAAAAATGGATAAATAAATTAATTGCTGGGTTCTTTTCTTATTTTAGTTGTCATCTTAAAGACCTCATGAAATGGTCTCACAATTGCTTTTTAAAACTGACATTTCCTTATAAAAGAGGAGAATCGGATAGAACGTATAAAAGAGCTCTTGTTTTGTTATACCCGTCAGTCTGTCACTTGTTGTGCAGTCAGATAGTAGAAAACTATGAAAGCAAGGAAAGAAATATATTTAGTAGACACTTATCACATGTCCGAGTTTCTTAGTAGCAGAAGATTAGTATATATAATATAATACATTCATAAATGCATATAAATGTTTTTTTTAATCAAAATATTAAACACTTGCAAGCATTTAATATTATGATGACCGTTAACGTGTCATGACAGGCAAGTGAAAAGGGTCCGTTCACGCTGGAAAATGCATTAGCTAATGTTAAATATAATGTTCAACTATTAGCACAAATGAACTGTTTTGATTTCTTGTTGAGATAATTATGAATTAGTGAACAATTGAATTGAAAATGTAATTCATTGTAGCTCTATTGACAGTTTGTTTAATTAGTAGCCTACTGTAATTTAATTGCTGTTAGGACTAAGAGGACATTTACATCTTAGCATTTTCAACAAAAACTTGACTTCTTTTTATGATTTTTGTTAGCCTGAAACATTCAAACTTTTGCAAACCGACTTTAATGTGCAAGTTTTTAAAACCATAATTAATTGTGTAAACTATTAAAAAATGATTTTGATTGTCTTTATTACTGGCCTGGCATGCATAAAAAGTGTTTTGTTTTCATGGATCTGCAAGCAAATGCAAAACTGCAAGCAAAACATATTTCGTACCATACAAATAAACCGTGTGAAGGGGGTGTAAAAGTTCCAAATACCCGTTTAGGGGGTCTTTTATCTATTATCATGATTTATTCAATTTAGTTTCTTTCCCTTTAATGCATACATTTAACTTTAGCTTTTAATTTCTTCCTTTTTTCCTTTTTTCCACTCTTCATTCAGTCTCTTGTCTTAAAGTTTTGCTCCTTGTCTATAAGTTGCTGACGGGGTCTTCACCTTCCCTTCCCTCTGCCGTCACGGCCCAATCTGGGTGTATGTGACCGTGTGTGTGTGTGTTTGTCTGTGTCCCAGGTGAGAACGCGAGATCTAGGGGGTTACAGCACCACTGGTGACTTTATCCGTGCTATTGTGGCCAGTCTACGCCAACGAACTGATTGAAGATCGTACTGTACATGCCGCTTCTGATCGCAATATGTTCAAAGAGGAGTTTAAAGCTGTCCTGCCACATCCTGCGTTTCTCTTCTGCTTTTTCTGTCTCTCGCTTTCTCATCTTCTCTGGCTGATTTATTTTTTTTTTCACTGCATCAATGTACGTTCTTTTTTCCAGTATTTGTTATAGTCTTGTAGTCAATATGTGTATAAGAATTGCACTTCTGTTTAAAAGTTAAGAGTTGGTAACGTTTCTTGCATTAACCAGGGCTGCATTCAATAAAATTAATAAAACAGTAAATATATAGAAACGCACTTAAAAAAAGTACAGTTGACTACTTCATTTTCATTTGAACCCTTTTTAGGGTGCTCATTTGGAAAAAAAAAAGTTTTAGTGGGGTTGTACACAATATATATACAAAAATATATTGTAATCAATGTCTATAAAATTCACGTATATGGTAAAGGCTTAAAGGGGCCAAATATAAAAAATCAGAAAGCTTGTTTTTTGCATAAGCTCTGCATTTCACTTGCATCATGTCAACAGATAAGGTCATTTAAAATGTTATGGTGGTCTGCTTAAAGTATATTTTAGATCATACGCTATATACAGTAGATCTGGCCATTTTCATTGCATGATACATTGACATTACAGTACAGAAAAGTTTATATCTTACATGAAAAGCGTTCTTTTAAAAAAAGAGGCTCTTGGATGTGCATGTAAACGTCACATCCTTTTGATATTCGTAGTTCTTCGTATAAAGATTAGTCTACAGGCTGTCATAGATGGTCTACAATCTGTTCACACTTGATAATAAAAAATATCTATAGTGATTCAAGATAGTTCTTGCATAAGAGGTGACTTTAGTACATTTTGATAAGTAATTTATGCCTTAAAGGCCAAAGCTGAATTTTCCAGCATCGTTACTCCAGTTTTCAGTGTCACCGAATCTTTTATAAATCATTTTAATATGCTGATTTGTTCATCAGAAACCTTTCTAACGATCAAAATTGAAACATGTTTTTGTTTGAACAGCAATAATGCATGTCTGGCATTGTTTTACTCCACTACTTTGCCTGTCCCTGTTATACATTTTATTTAGTTTCTGCACGCCAATGTCTTATTGCCGTCATCTGTGCTTTGGAGCTGGACCTTATTTTTTTAAGTTTTCAAAAGTGATTTAACATTGTAACAGAAGTGAAGAGGTGTGATACTTGATGATTTTTTTCACTTTCAATGGTACCATAGTAAACCTCACTAAGGAAATCTGCTGTCATAAGTCAGATGAGCAGTTGTTGTTTCTATATTATGATGCTGATGTTCTGTGCCATTACTGACTTAACTGTGGATTGAGGTAAGGATGGTTTTATATTCGCATATCCGTTCAGTGACATTGTGACAGGCTTCCTAAATTGTTTACCGCGGTACTTTGAATATTCGGCTTAAAATCACATGAAAGTACGACTTCAAAACAATATTAGCAATATTTAATTGACTGTGTTACTTTGATAGTCATTGACTGCTAATATGATTTTACTATTTAGTATATTATTAAGGAGGGAATTCAAATGTGTTAATATAAAATCAACTTTACCTCAATTAACTGTGGACACGATGACTGACTGGTCTCTCAGGCATTTAAAACTTACCTCAAGTCACTGTTGTACTGATGTAACATGTTGTCTTCATATTTTTCTAACTCAGCACTTGCATTACTAACGTTTGTAATCTTGCATTGTAAAAAATATCCATCAATTAACAGGTTCCATATTTCGTGATTCACAGTTTTTCTGTTTATTTATTTATATGAATTGCCTTATTTTTAAGATATATTTTTGGCCTTTTTGCCTTTATTAAGTCTATAGGACTAAGCGAAGTGGGAGAGGGAGGGGGGTAGGGATGGAAAATGTCCTTGAGCCGGGATTCAAACTCTGGATGCCCTGAAGTTCTACTGCACCATGTGTCAGTGTGCTAACCACTAGGCTATTGCGCCGGCAAATTGTCATTGATGTTGAAAATTCAACTGCAGTTTAACAAAGTGACTTTTGTTGATCTTTTAGTAGTTTTGAAGCAATATAATTGTGTAAGTGAAACATAATTATTGTGTAATACATAATATAATGACAATTAAATCTGTAAAATAACAAAAGGTACTTTCTGTACCATAATTTACAACACCAACCCAGAAGGGTATCTGCGGGGTCTTAAAAGTCTTAAAATGTCTTAAATCGCAGAAGCTACATTTTAGGCCTTAAAAAGTCTTAAATCTATTGAGATATTGTGTTGTAGGTCTCAATTTTTTACAGTAACATGTTTAAAATGTTTAAAACATGTTTCTCCTTTTATTTACGGATGAGGATACTGACCTGACCTAAATATTTTTATTATTAAATTGTTATTATTAGCAGTTGACGGCTTTGTTTTGTTTTATTCTTGGTTAGGGTGATAGGGTTTGTGAATGCATGTATTTAAAAATTAATGAAAAAATATTCAAACAAAATGATTATTTTTGTATTATTAAATTAAATTTGTATAAAATTAATTGTTTTTTGATTGGGCAAGTGAACATTTTTTTCTAACTAGGATTTTGGAAAGTTCTTAGCATTTATCCTCGTATAGGTCTAAAATTCCGTTCATAATGGTTTTAATGTCTTAAAGTCTTAAATTTAACTTGGTGAAACCTGCATACTTCAAAATGTCAAGAAGCGTCACTTTTTCCAAACTTTTCAACATCGATAGTTGTTGGAGGTAAGATCAAGGTCGCAAAATGGAATTCAAAAGCATAAATTAAGAAAGTAAAACATGAATCACAATATATGGAAAACAGTTAATTTATGGGTATTTTTTACAGTGTAGTGTGTTTGGGAAGGTGGAAACCAAGCATTTCAATTTCACAAAGTGTATTTATTTCCTAAATGAACAGATCGATTTTATTTTTTTTTTATTTAATTTTTTTTCTCAACTGTGAATTTTTTTATTTTTCTGTGCCAATAAATAAAAGGATTGAGAAATAAAAACATCACTTTATAATCACTGCTATTGCGTGCTCTGTTTGAAGACGTAACATGACTAAATGAAAATTCTAAAATTATATACTGGATATCATTGAGAAGTGCGTGTTTGTGAGAGAAACTCTTTAGTATGAATGCATCCCGTGTGAACATGAAGGCATAAAAAATGTTATTGCTCTCTTTGGTATAGGTTCGCACCTCAGATCTGGGAGGATATGCATCAAACGACGAGTTCACCAGGGCTGTCATCACCAATCTGGCTGTCTAAATCAATTCCAGCATTCCACTGATATCCTCATCCTAAGCACAATCAACAGACTGTCCAGTATATCAAACATTTCTCATTTTCCCAGCTCAAGCCTTTCTGCTGGCCTAACCAGTGGACTATCACATGGTCTACAACAAAGCACAAGTGTTGTAAGATTCATATGTCGTCTCTGGCCAGAAGCAGTAATTAAAGAATGCCTGTTTAATTGCTTTATAATGCTGCTTAGTAAAAGATGTATTTATTCAGCTATTTATGACTTAATCACTTGTTTAGTCACTAACATTAATAAAATGTAATGTGTGGACAAATATGTTGTCATTTTCAGTGATGGTACACTAGTTAGGAACTTTAGGAGTCCTCTTGAAGTTTCTCTGGTTTTAGGTTTGAGTGAAATGTTTATTGTTTTTCTCTCTTTAGGGTCTGATAAAATTTCAAATAAAGATATTGTCGTTTTCATTTGTTGGGATTGAAAACTACAGTTATTTCGCCAAATAATGATTTATTAACTTTTTTGATGTATTTTCATTATACTGTGTTGTCTAAAAAATAATATTAAGTAATAAATAAATTATTTTTATTTAAAAATTGGCATGAAATCACAGTAGTTTACAGATGTGTTGGGAGTTTGGTCATGGTCTAAATGAAAGTAACAGTTCTTTTAACTGGGTGAATTTCAACACTTGTGCAATGTAGACGTTTTCTTTATTGGTCACACTTTACAATAAGGTTCATTAATTAATGTTAATGCATTTACTGACATGAACAAACAATGGACAATACATTTACTATTGTATTTGTTCATGTTAGTTAACGTTAGTTAATGAAAATACAGTAATTCATTGTTAGTTCATGTTAACTCATGGTGCATTAACTAATGTTAACAAGCATGGACTTGGATGTTAATAATGCATTAGTAAATGTTCAATTATGATTAATAAATGCTGAACGTGTTGTTCATGATTAGTTCATGTTAGTAAATGAATTAACTAATGAACCTTATTGTAAAACCTATTTATTTTTTTGTGATCATTGTGACTTTAATTAAATGATTATTAATACTTTTGTGTGGGTGACCCCCGATAAAGCAAGGACTAGCTGATGAAAAAAAGAGAGTAATTGTGTGCATTTTAATGTGAAACTGACGTTTGTGTAAACCTAAGTGCTACTTTTTTTTCAATGTGACACTACATAAAAAAAACTAATCAGTGATGATGTTAATATCCTTTTTGACCACTGACTTATCCAAGATTGTACAACAATACATTATCTGCTTAGCCTTTAGTAAACATTGAAAAAAGTGTATTGTATTGCTATTTTGTTCAAAAAAGTGTGTACACTTTAAATCATAAGTTTTAAATTCAATTCCTGGAGAGCCGCAGCTCTGCGCAGTTTTGCTCCAATCTTAATCAAACACAGCTGATCCAGGTGTTAAAGACCCTTGACCAACTTGATTAGTTGGATTAGCTGTGTTTGATTAAGATTGGAGTAAAACTGCAGAGCTGCGGTCCTCCAGGAATGGAGTTTGAGACCCATAAACAAATTACAGCTTAAAGCAGGAGTGCCCAAACTTGTTGCTGGAGGGCCAATGTCTTGCATATTTTAGTTCCAACCCCAAGTAAACACACCTGAACCAGCTAATCAAGCTCTTTCTAGGTATACTAGAAACTTCCAGGCAGGTGTGTTGAAAAAAGTTGGAGCTAAACTATGCAGTTTGTACATAGTTTGGACATCCCTGTACTTACACTTCCAGTCAAGTATGTTGAAGGAAGTTAGAGCTGAACCATGCAGGACACCCCCCCTCCAGGACTGAGTTTTTGGATGCCCCTGCTTTAAAGGGTTAAAAATCCTTAAAATTAATTTTTGACATCATCAGGGTTGCTGCTGCTGGTAAAATAGTAAGTGAAAGTTGATAATATAGTTATAAATTAAAAGTTTAAATATTATTCAAATATATGATTCTTCTACTAAGACTCACATTTTATGTGTGTCTATGCCAGGGGTGCCCGAAATCAGTCCTGAAAATCTGATGTCCTGCAGATTTTAGCTAGCCCATAGCTTTGCAGGCCCACCAGGACCGAGTATGGTCACCCCTGATCTATGCTATTTATAACTTTTTCAAATCGATGCACACGGGCAAGGGTTAAATCTAAGGTCTCAAACTCAATTCCTGGATGGCCGCATCAAACGCAGCTTATCCAAATAATCAAGGTGTTCAAAAGAGTCATGAGCACCTTGATTAGTTGGATCAGCTGTTTTATCAGGGTTTGAGCAAAACTATGCAGAGCTGCAGCCTTCCAGGAATTGAGTTTGAGACCTTTGGGTTAAATGGTGTCTTGATGCTAGCAGTGGTGCTCTCAGACCTGTCATTACATCAATTTTATATGATAATCGAGTTAAAAGATATTCTAATGGTTTCGCAGTTATTCAACGAAGGATATTTACTGACTTATACTGAATTTCTAGAGAAGTTTTCCAGTACCTCCACGTGGTTATAGTATTAGAACTGATGCAATACCAGTAGGCCTAGTGAGGATTTTGCATGGTTACAGTGAACCAAATAAACTATTAATATTAGATTTTATTAGATGGTGTTAATATCAAAGATAGAAAATAATCAGTGTTGGGCAAGCTATACTTGACAAATGTAGTGAGCTAAGCTATTAGCTACTCTACTTAAAATGTAGCTTAACTACACTAAAGCTACCCCCTGGGAAATGTAGCAAGCTTAAAAGCTACATGGCAAAAGTAGCTTAGCTACATATAAGCTATTTTTACAATTTTCATTTTAAAATCAAAGCAACTTAAATCCAAGACAATCATATCTTAGTGATCAATAAAAATGTCAATGAAACATATGAGGCATAATAGTTCAGTTATTTACTGTAAATAATATGCTGTTCTAAACAGAAACACATTATGGTATATGACAGCTAAAACAAAAAAATCAATAAATCAAGGTGTTACACATTTAAAATACTTAAGTCGTTTATATATATATATATATATATATATATATATATATATATATATATATATATATATATATATATATATATATATATATATATATATGTATATATACAGTTGAAGTCAGAATTATTAGCCCACTTTTAATTTTTTTTTTCTCTTTTAAATATTACCAAAATTATTTTTAACAAAGCAAGGAAATTTTCACAGTATATCTGATAATATTTTTTCTTCTGGAGAAACTCTTATTTGTTTTATTTCGGCTAGAATGAAAGCAATTATTAATTTTTTAAAACCCATTTTTGGGACAAAATTATTAGCCCCTTTAAGCAATTTTTTTTCCCGACAATCTACAGAACAAACCATCGTTATACAATAACTTGCCTAATTACCCTAACCTGCCTAGTTCACCTTATTAACTTAGTTAAGCCTTTAAATGTCACTTTAAGCTGTATAGAAGTATCTTGAAAAATATCAAGTAAAATATTATTTACTGTCATCATGGCAAAGATAAAATAAATCAGTTATTAGAAATAAGTTTTTAAAACTATTATGCTAAGAAATGTGCTGAAACAATCTTCCCTCCATTACACAGAAATTGGGGAAAAAATAAACAGGGGCGCTAATAATTCAAAGGGGCTAATAATTCTGACTTCAACTGTATATATGTATATATATATATATATATATATATATATATATAGTCACTTATTGATCCACGATCGGTAGATGTAGCTTGCGTGGACGCTACTGCGCTACTTGACTAATAATTTAGCTTCGCTACTGAAAAGTGAAAGCGAGTAGCGACGCTTCTGCCCAACACTATATGCCGAAGCATGCTAATAGGACTTTTAATTTGCCAGTAGTTTGGGTTGAGCGCTTCCGGTGAACTTTATGCCAACGGAAAAATCTGCCCGTTTAAGGTCTGTTTTCTTTAAAAATCAGCGATCTCCACTGGCTGAGTGATATCCGATATAAAGTGGGCCTCAAATTGTACAAGAAGCACTGCATTAAATGACATTTTCCCCGCCATGTCTTTATAATATGAGCATTTATTTTATCCCAGTATATTCAATGGAGCTTCTGCGCTAGCCTGCCGATTCTGACAGGCGAGTGCGAGTAAAAGGTCTTTTGTCTCGTTTTACGCTTGAACAACTAAACGAATGCCAAAATTTATTTAACTGAATGTATTTTAATTACATTACAACATGAATGCTGTAAAAGGAACCCTATAAAATGACAAAAAAAAAACTCACAACAACAGGTCACCGGAAGTTTATAAGTATGGGAACAACACTAGCTCAGCATAAGCCCAATTATGTTCATCTGTCTCCATATTCTACTGCATCCCAGAATATTACACAGCACCAAAAATGTAAAAATATATATTGAATATATTTAATATGTTTTTGTCCATAGCAGGCAGTAATTCGCCGTGACCCTCAGGGAAACACGGGAGGCCGGAAGTGGGTCCTCGCTGCGAGGGTTATGGTGGGTGGGAGCAGCGAGGCCCACTCATCTTCTATTTTAAACTAGTTTCAAACTTTAGTTTACTATGGTTTGAAATAGAAACCATGATAACTGTTATGATTTAACTTTATGCAAAAAGCCTAGAATGACCAAGAGGCGACACTCAATAGATCGCTCCACTGCAACAGCAGCGCCCAGCAACAGACCCCGGATTCTGTTTCCCAAATTGCACTAGAGTGTCGCCTCTTGGTGATTCTATGTTATTTGCTCTATGTCTGACTGTTGTAATGTTTTGCTTTGTTTTTCAGCTGAGTTGTTGAGCAAAGAAGGACAACCGTTGAAGAAAACAGTTGAAGACAACCGCGGGTTATATTAACGAGCGTGCGCATTATAAAGTTTTCTGGGCTGTTTTCTGAAAGTTTATTTTGTTTAGATAACCATGCAGGTCAAACAAAATAAAGTACACTCTTTCTAAACACCTGTCTCGTCTTCCACAGCAATACACTGTCATATAAGTCTGTTGAATGCATTTGTATGCAACATGGTTTGACATCACAGTAGTCTAACAAAAAAATCATTGTTATAAATGTACCTTCATTAGTCAACATTTGGTGTAGGTAATAAAAAGTTAATCAAATATGTCCTAAGATATAACGGTAATGTTATAGTTGTTACATAACTGTGTTTTTTTTATTCTGTTTGTTTAAAACCAGCAGATTTATTATATATTTAACATTGTATGAACTTACTGTTATTCAAAAATTTGCTTAATAAAATGTCCTAAGACAAGAATGGGTATTGTTTTGGTTTTATATCAACCTACTGTAGGTTTTAGGTTGACTACAGCAGGTATAGGCTACATACATCATAGGGAGTTTTTTTTAATGACCCAAATCAAGTAAAACGTCTCTTACTCAAGTATTTGTAGCATGCTAAAGACAAATTTAAGTATATAAAATACAGTTTCCAACAACAAAATTTTGTCTTGTGAAAAAGACTAGTGTGGTGGTGAGAAAAAAAAGTATTGTCAAGTTACGTATATGTAATACATTTCTTAGAATCATTGATTCATTATCCTGCAACTTTTAGACATAAGTACTTTTGGGGTAACTAATTTGAGAATATAAATTAGATTTTTTTTTTACTTATATAGTTGAAGTCAGAATTATTAGCCCTGCTTTAAATTTATTTTTCTTTTTTTAAATGTTTCCCAAATGATGTTTAACAGAGCAAGTAAATTTTCACATTATGTCTGATAATATTTTTTTCTTCTGGAGATTTTCTTATTTGTTTTATTTAGGCTAGAATAAAAGCAGTTTTTAATTTTTAAAAAAAAATATTTAAGGACAAAATTATTAGCCTCTTAAGCTATATATTTTTTCATAGTCTACCGAACTAACCGTCCTTATACAAGAACTTGCCTAATTACCCTAACATGCCTAGTTAACCTATAGTTAAGCCTTTAAATGTAACTTTAAGCTAGAAGTTTCTTGAAAATATTTAGTAAAATATTATTTACTGTAATCATGAAAAAGTAGAAAGTTTAGGAAAGTCAGTGAAATCTACTTTAAAATTGTACATAAATATATCCAACCAACCAGTTTCTCAAGACATATATTTGATCTTTCTGAATCTTGAGTTTTTGTGGAATGGATGTTGACACTGTTTTGCATTTGTTTTTTGATTGTATGTATATTAAATATTTCTAATTTGATGTTGAATGTCTATTAAATATACTGAGTGGTCATAGATTAAATAAAAAGAAAAGATATGCCATATTTTACATAGATAAAAAAAAGATATGAGGCTTATGTTAAACCTTATATTAGTACACTCTCAGAAATAAGGGTACAAAAGCTGTCTCTGGGGTGGTACCATCTCAAAAGCTACAAATTTGTACCTAAAGGGTCCATATTAGCACCTGAAGGGTACATATTAGTTAAAATGTTTAGGAACAAATATATGCTTTTGAGGTACCAATATGGACCCTAAGTACAAATGGGTATCTTTTGGAAAGGTACCGCAGTGACAGCTCTTGTACCTTTATTTCTGAGAGTGTAGGCAAGTTTCATATAGGCTACACAAGTGTAAATGATCTTCAATTTCAAGGCTGATTTAAAAAATATTTTAGAACTCTTAAAGGACTTTCAATTCGTGAAGCAACCAGAACTGTAAATATAGCCTACTCCAAAAACTAAACTCCTCTTCTTTATGGTAATTGTTATGTATGGTGTACACTCTTTTAGTCTTTGTTTGTTTGTTTCTTTCTTTTTTTAAATTTTACGTAGGCTATTTTATGCTAAAATGTGAATATCTTATTGTAATATTTATTATGCATTTGATTGGAAATGCTAAGCAAGTAAAAGAATAAAAAAGACCCTTCATTAGCACAACTGACCGCGGGTCGGCGCTCTGCTCCTCAGCGCCTTTACATTCCCCTCTTCTGGAAGCGCGTCGTCCGCCAGATGTCGCGGCATCTCTGCGTGGGAAGAGGGAGAGGAGGGGCCTGGGAATCCGCTGCTTCCCATTCCAGGCGCAGGGGCACAACATGGCGGATTAGGAGGCGACCGAAGCGCCCGGATACAACGAACAAATACTGGGATACCGTTTCCCCTTTCCGTGGAGACGCCAGGAATACAGGCTTTTCGGACGGCTAACGCGCTCCTTCGAGACTCCCCGAGACATGCGTTTTGGATAACAGTTCGCGTTGCTGTGCCTCACTCCAAATTGGCTGTCTGTCCGAGATCATTCCTATCACCCAGGCCCCCCACCCCGAACACACTCTCGGTTCCTGGGGTGTGGAGACAGGGGCCGGGGAAGTGGAAAACAAGCGCACTTTTATCTGGAACATCAGGCTCCGTGCTGCGGGACAGGGCTGTCAGGGTGAGTAACATCGCTGCTTCTCTCAACATATTAACAGCGCAAACTTCTCTTTAGTCTGATGTCTGTCCCTTGTGTCACCCTGCTTTTTGTCACGTTAGTGAGTCGACTAAAGAAAACAACGCGCTTTGTGGCACATCCGAAATCCCACCGCGGATTTATGTAACGTGAACGCGCCGCGTAGGGATGTTCACGCAATAATGTTGGAAGCAACGCTTAACATTTGCCGAAGTAGCTGGGAGGCAAGGAGGGAAAATGAGGGGGTGGGGGGCGAGGGGTTCTGCCGAGAACAGGGAGGGGGAAGAGGAAGGAGAGACACGCAGAGCTTTTGGTGGAAGTCGGGCTGATTGTGCGCCAGAACGCAGGCGTGATTTCTGACTGGATACAATGAAAACATTATGAGGGGGTTCACTTGATGCGTCGTGTCAGTGTTAGTGGTCCTATTCTGGACGCGTTGCGACAATATTAGCTTTGATATGTGGTGGAGATGTTACTTTTAACGACCCCTGACTAACTTGAAAGTTCTGGAAAAGATATAGCCTGCTGTGTCATTATACATAGTTTTAAATTGGATATAGTAAGCTATTCACAAGCTATTCACATACTGAAACTATTAATTCTATCACCATGCCGTGTGTAACATTATGAAAGATTCCTCACTTGATGGATTGTGTCCAGGCCTAGTGATAAGTGGTCAGGTTGTTGCAATTAACGGTCCTAGACTGGGTCAATTTTAACAGTCTGCATATTTACTGACTTGTTTCATTGTATCAACTTTAATGGTTCTGGAATAGATGGCTTTAGACTGGATACATGTTCCATATAGGCATGGGCCGGTTTCACGGCATTGTGACTACTGCTTTAAAAAATATTCTTTGTAATTGTCTGGGTAATAAAAAAAAATAAATTCGCATTTGAAGACAATATATTTTATTTTGAGAAATATATAATATGTTTTTGAGCAGTAAACATGTCAGTCTAAATAATTCAAATGAATCATTGACTTCTGCTGTCTTCATTTGTTTCCAAAACACAGATTTCTTTACATTTTAAAACGGCGTCTTTGCATATCTTTTCTGCTGGAGATACTGTTTTCCTAAAAAACTAAAACTAAATAAAAAACTTACACATACCTTTGGAACGGTAGCCTATTAAAGAAAATGTTGTCGATTTTAAAACCTTGACTTTTCCAAAGCGCGGTATACCTTGAAAATGGAAAACGTCCCATGCCTATACTATCTTTATCATTTCTGTCTGTAAGCAGTGGAACATTGTGAAATATTCTACATTGTTGACAGTCTTGTACTGGATAGCTGATAAGTGGTTTAGTTGTTACTGTTAATGTTTGTTTTGATAAGTTGTAACAGTCTGTATGACTGTTGGCTTGATATGTTGTAGCTAATGATTCTGGAATAGATACCATTTAGTAACAGTGCAAATATTCTAGACTGAACAGTACAAATATATTTGTTGTACCACATGAGTAACTTCTGACTTGATGCTCATTTGATGCATCATGTCAGTTTAGGGATGCACTGATATGTTTATTTTTATTTTATTTTTTTAGCCGATAAATATTTCAAAATGTTATATTTTCATACAGTAAACAACTGATTTTATTTAAAAAAAATAAACTTCATAAAAGTTTGATCTGATCTTATTAACTGAACAGTTAAAACAAAAAAAACAAACAACAATTTCAAAATCGCAAGGTGATCATATAGACCTATATTTATAATTTTACATGAGTTATCATGCCAATAATAAAATATTTTGGTTTATTCGCATAGCAAATTAACATGCAACTTGACTGTTGCATATAAATAATAGATTAAATATATTAAATATGTTTATGTTAAATGAGCAATTCCATGCAAATGTCAACCTTGCCATGAAAAAAGTAAAGTTTTCACCAGAATACCAAAACATTTTTAGTGTAAGCAAGTATTTTAAAGTACTTCAGAAATGTCTCTGTGTCAATGTTTTCAAACAATTATATTTGAATTGCCAAAGTCACACAAATGACAATTTCACATCGGTCACATCCATAACAGAAAGGATGTCACATCCATAAGTAAGCTTTTACCTCATAAATGTAAAAAATATTAAATCAAATCAATCATGTTTGTTCTATAATAAGCCGAGTCTTACCCTTGTGATTAGCATTTTTTATTTTTTTTTTGGGTTGTGCAGTTTATTTTCCTCATTTAAAGTACAAAACATGTTTGAAGATTGATTTAATGCAAATGTCACATTCATAATGCTGGAATTGCTATAAAATAAAATATATTTTAAGTAAAATGAAAATGAAGTATTAAAACCAGTAAAATGTGTTACAGTAATGTACATGCGTAGAAATATGTAATGTCTAAAAAAGTGTTTTGAGAGGTGTTATGACAGTTCAGAGCCACCATACATCGAAAAACTAAATACAGATAGTATTACTTTAGAAAATGTGGCAAAAATTCGTCCCATTGGGCTTTTTAGATTCTTTGAACACATGTAGGTGCTGCTTCAGACAACGCGTCTATTTTCATTCTTGCTGTTAATTGCAGGAAAAATGATCGGCGAGGTTTATAATAAACTGCTTTAAGTTTGAAGCTTTAACTGCTGGTGGTGCGTGGTGCACGTGAAGCGGAGTCAGATTTGTGATGAAAAGGTAAATACCTTTAGAGTGGATATATGGATATTGTGCAATATGATTCATTGTAAGAACGAGAATGAGCGATGCTGGACTTTTTACATGGTAAAAATATTGATAGTTCTAGAATGCATACGTTAACAATATTAGTACTTCTGTACAGCACATTATACCAGGAGCCTATTCATTTTAATGATTTATTTCAGACCAGACACATAATAGAAGTGATCTCTGACTGGTTAAGGTTTTAGAAACTTAAACAATTTATCATTGAAATTCACTGAATAAGATTAAACTATAAGAATGGCTTCGGGCTGGATAGGTTGTAACAATCAATTGGTCCAGATTAAATTTGTTGTAGCTATCTAAATATTTTCTGACTTGATACGTTGTTGCAGTATCAGTAGTTCTTGTGGATGCAATATTAATTATCTCTGATCATTTGAGATGTAGCAATTATCGGGATTGTATACTTTTTATTCCTAGATATGTTGTATCAATGTATATAGTTTATGAATGATTGCTGGCACAAACAATAACCGTATTCAAGGTATACCGCGGTTTGGAAAAGACAAGGTTATAATTTCAGCTATAATGTTCCTAAGGTATGTGTTAGATTTTTTTTTTTTTTTACAATTTTTTTTTTTTTTTAGGAAAACAGTATCTCCAGCAGAAAAGATATCCTAAGATGCCTTTTAAAAAATGTAAGGAATTCTGTGTTTTTGAAACTAATATCGATGATTCATTTTCATTATTCGGCTTGACATGTTTACTGCCCCAAAATATTATAATTTATAATAATTATAAGTTTCTCAAAATATAATATATTGTGTTCAATGGGTGAAAAAAAATAGTTTTTTTACCCAGACATTTGAAAAGAATATATTTTAGAGCAGTAATCACAATACCGTGAAACCAGGATATTTTTATCCAAGGTTATCATATTGTCAGAAACATATGCCTATGAATGACTTTACCATTATGTGGAATTTTGGCTATGAAGTCAGTAATTACCAGTCAAAGCTTTAAATTGTATAAATATAGATTGTTAATAGAATATGAATAGAAATGAAAAGAACATGTAATTTTTTCTAATACATTGCCAGTTTTTCCATGGTTGAACTTGAGCTACTGTTTATTTATAAAATATACCAGAAGAATTTACCAGTGTACTTTAACGTGATATTCTTGCATGGGCTTAGTTAAGTTGACAAGTCATATACAAAGTCTTCATTCCCTATAATCTTCTAAGCTGCCTTGACACAATCTACATTGTAAAAGCGCTATAGAAATAAAGATGAATTGAATTGAATTAGATTAAAATGATTGACAGCTTGAATTGTCTTTAACTGAATAGATTGTTGTAATATGAATGATCTATTAGGTTTTCTTTTTAATAAAATAATCAGTCTGGCTATATTGTAGAGTTGTAAATAATTTGTGACATTTAGCATTATGGAGGATTTCTGAATGGACAAAGTGGATAATAAACTAAAAGTTCCTAATATGCTCTCAGACTGAATACATTGTATCAATATTAATCTTACCAGACTGGATGCATTCTGAACGTTGTAACAATGGATGGGAAGACAATAGGAGTCCAGTGTGTTCGCGTCACGCGCTGTGGGCATGCTGAAAGTGAACATATTGATCAGCGCTTTGTCGCTACATGTTTTTAAAAGGTCTGCTATGTGTGTGTGGGGAGAGAGAGGAGGGGGTTCACGAGGGAGTTGGTAGATGTGGAGCATTTGAGCACACAAACACAGGAATTATGTAGCTCAGACATTCCCTCAAGTGCGCTATCCATTGTCTGCACTAAGGTGAAAGTCGGCATGCTAATTTGCCCAATTTCTTTTTAACAAACGTGATTTCTCTTCAGGTTTTTACTCCACTTGCAGTGGAAGCATGCCTATAGAGAACACTGAATTGAAAGTCTAGTCACTAAACACTAGCGTTAATCTCTTTAACTGGGTCCTAAATGAACATGAAGGAGTTGTATATGTTTGTTTCTATGTTTTTAGTTACATTTTGAGGATGTGAGGACCAGGTATGTGCGATAGCTTGTAGTTTGCACTATATTAGTAAAAATTCTCCCCATGATAAAAAATATACTTATAATAATGATAATGCACGGTGGCGCAGTGGCTAGCACAATCGCCTCACAGCGAGAAGGTTGCTGGTTTGAGCCTCGGCTGGGTCTGTTGGGATTTCTGTGTGGAGTTTGCATGTTTTCCTTGTGTTTGCGTGGGTTTCCTCCAGGTGCTCTGGTTTTTTCCACAAGTCCAAAAACAACATGTGGTATAGGCGATTTAGGTTATCTAAATTGTCCGTAGCGTATAAGTGTGTATGGATGTTTCCCAGT